GAAGCGTTTTTGACCCCAAATATTGCTCCCTAAGTTTGAGGTACTTATGAAATTTTGAATTGTTCAATCAATCTCTCTCTCTCTCTCTCTCTCTCTCTCTCTCTCTATCTATCTATCTCTCTCTCTCTCTCTATATATATATATATATATATATATACAAATATATATGTGTGCGTGTGTGTGTGTATTTGTGTGTGTATGCGTGTGCGCGCGTGCATATTGATTAATATAGATATTCATGAAAACTTATGCGTACGTGAATAACATCATGTAGTGGAGGCAATGAAAATAAATAAGGCGTACGTGTTTGACTTTTAGAGTATTTATAAATGTTCGTGTGTAAGAGACAGTCATGGGCGGGTGCAAGGACGCTTATTCAAAGGAAAATTTTGGCTGCAACAAAAAAGTCAGTCTCTTTTCAATTTCAGTATATTCTGGCTAGCAGACGGAGAGAACACGGGAAACACAGATGTCAATAATGCCGTCTTCATATTGGCGCCTATATTTTAGGAATGGACCAATGAACGAAGAAATATAAAATAAAATGAACAAAGATAGAAATACGAAAGAAGAGCAAAGTGCATTGACAGAAAGGATCGACAGAAAAAATACTTTATAAAGGAAAGACTGAAAGGAAGAAACGTAACATAGAGACAGAAAGCAAAAGAAGCAGAAACACAAAAAAAGATGTCGCACAAAAAACTACAGAAGAAGAAGGGGACGTAAATGTAACTCAAGAACTACAAAGGAGAAAGGAAGTCTGAAATAACGCAAAATAAAGTAAAAGAAAACTTTAAGTAAGGCGAACAAAAAAGACAATCAGTCGCACTAACGAAATCACTGAGATGTCGAAAGAAACGGTCATGGTCCAGGTTAGGACCAAGGAAGAACAACACAAACACAAGAGTAGAAATAACGAAGGTATATTACACGAAATAATAATACAAGATGTGGAAGGTGTCAGTATGACTGTCAGTCTGGTTTGGAGTGAACTACTATCGGCACGACTCGATTCGGTATCTAGCCACCCATCCACCAGGGTTGCATATGACACAAGGCCGAGTTTAACGTGGGTTTCCCGAGCCCGTAGGCTCGGCTAAAAAATGCCCGTAGAAACTGTAAAAACAGAATCGGGTTGGTCAACCTCCCTGAACGAGGCTCTACCCTTCGGCGGAACCTCGCCCGGGTTCCTCTCTGCTCAGAGGCAGAGAGTTCGACCGTCAAGTCGAGAAGCTCGGCTTGAATCGGTATCTACTCCCCCCCAGGAGGGTTGCATGTGGCACAAGGCCGAGTTTAACGTGGGTTTCCCGAGCCCGTAGGCTCGGCCAAAAAATGCCCGTAGAACCCGTATAAACGGGATCGGGTTGGTCAACCTCCCCGAACGAGACCCTGCCCTTCGGCGGAGCCTCGTCCGGGTTCCTCTCTGCTCAGAGGCAGAGAGTTCGACCGTCAAGTCGAGAAGCTCGGCTTGAATCGGTATTCAGCCACCCCCATGCATGCCCACAGGTCGAGTGGGTTGCATGTAGGCATGACTCGTAAAAACGAGATCAGGAGTTTACGAACGGGTTCGGCGGAAGCCGGGTTCCTTTAGGCTCGGCCAAAAAGTTGACCGTCAAGTCGAGAACCCGTATAAACGAGGGGATCAAGGGTTTTTTATCAGGCTTCGGTTTCAACCTGCCCCTAACTCGCAAAAACGAACGAGGCGAGATTCTACCCTTCGGCGGAACCTCGTCCGGGTTCCTTTCTGCTCAGAGGCAGAGAGTTCGACCGTCAAGTCGAGAAGCTCGGCTTGAATCGGTATCTAGCCACCCCCCCCCAGGAGGTCATTTTTTATCGTGGGCATGAGCCCGTACAAGGCAAAAGTTTAACGTGGGTTTCACCCCGGAACGAGAGCCGGCGGAACCTCGTCTGAGGCTTTCGCCCGGCCAAAATGCCCGTAGAACCCGTATAAACGGGATCGGGTTTGGCTCAAAATATGCCCTCCCGTAAAAAACGAACGAGACCCTGAACCCTTCGGCGGAGCCTCGTCCGGGTTCCTTTCTGCTCAGAGGCAGAGAGTTCGACCGTCAAGTCGAGAAGCTCGGCTTGAATCGGTATCCAGCCATCCCCCACGAGTGTTGTAGGGCAAAAATACGTAAAAAGGCCGAGTCATTTACCCGAACGAGATTCTGCCCTTCGGCGGAGCCCGTCCTTTCTGCTCAGGGCAAAAATGCCCGTAGAACCCGAGGGGTTATAAACGTTTTTTTTCAGGGGTTTCTGAGGTTGGTCAAAAATGCCCATATAACCCCAAAAACGAGGCTCTGAACGAGATTCCCGGGCGGAACCTCGTCCGGGTTCCTCTCTGCTCAGAGGCAGAGAGTTCGACCGTCAAGTCGAGAAGCTCGGCTTGAATCGGTATCTACCCCCCAGGAGGGTTGCATGCGACACAAGGCCGAGTTTGGAGCCCGTAGGGCCAAAAATATGCCCGTATAACTCGTAAAAAACGAGATCGGTAGGTCATTCACCCCGAACGAGAGCCCCCAGGCTTTCGGGCAAAAATGCCCGTAGAACCTTGAATCAGTATAAAGAGGGGATCGACACAAGGTCATTTTTATCGTGGGTCAACCAGCCCGTGACTCGTAAAAAGATCCCATTCACCCCGAACGAGCCCTTCGGCGGAACCTCGTCCGGGTTCCTTTCTGCTCAGAGGCAGAGTTCGACCGTTCGAGAACCGAATCAGTATCGAGCCACCCCCCACGAGGGTTGCATGCGCACAAGGCATTTTATCGTGGGAATCGGTAGGCTCAGCCATGCCCGTATAACCGTAAAACGAGGGTAGGTCATCAGAACGAGATTCTGCCTTCGGCGGCACAAGGCCCCGAAAGTTTAGCCGAGAAGCTCGGCTTGGGTAGCCACCCCCACGAGGTTGCATGCGACACAAGGTCATTTTTAGGCTCGGCAAAAAAAATGCCCGTAAAGAACCGGTAGGTATTTAAATTCTGGGATCAGGTTCGACCGTCAAGTCAAGCTCGGCTTGAATCAGTATCTAGCCACCCCCCCGAGGGTTGCATGCGAACGAGATCCCTGCCCGTAGGCTCAGCCAAAAATATGGTGGAGCCCTCGGCGGAACCTCGTCCGGGTTCCTTTCTGCTCAAAGGCAGAGAGTTCGACCGTCAAGTCGAGAAGCTCGGCTTGAATCGAACCTCTCTCTTGAGAGGCGTAGTATACATAGTGTTAGGAGGAGTTCATTCTGTAGTTATAGGTAAGGACCCATGACAGAAACAAACAAAGAAATAAGTACAAAAAAGTATAAAGGAAAAGGACTAGGGATATGTCAAAACAATTACCGATGATCTGAACTTAATCTAAATAAATTGTAAGATAATAGACATGATAGATATCGGGCGTTCCACTAACTTGAACTGACTTTAAATCTGAATAAATTTTAAGCGTAATGATATTTATTTTTGTTTTTCTTTCAGATTTGACAGCTTATGTCTTTAGCAATTTCAACCATCGAAAGATTATCAATCAAACAACATGTTAAAGTTATCGAAGCCTATTATAAAAATAGACGTTCAAACAGAAATGCATTTTGCACACTTCGTGACTTTTTGGTCACTATAATCGACCAAGCGAGAGTGCAAGTGGAAAAATTGTTCGAAATTCAAACAAACTGGGTCGGTTGCAGATGTGAAAAAAATCACTGTGTGCTTGTTTACACGGTTCAGTTGAAAGCATTGCTGCACTGCACGAGAATGTAGCCGAAAAGGCAAACACTTCTATTCGTCATCGCGCACAGCAATTGAACCTGTCCACACAAGGTTACTTCGAATTTTTACAAAAGATTTGTCTCTATACTCTTAAAACTTCAATTGGCACAAAGACTGAAACCAGCTGACCATTTGGAACGCCGTACATTCGTCAAATGAGTACAGGAGCAAAGACAACCGATGAAGATTTTTCTCAAAAAAATCCTCTTTAGTGATGAATCCCATTTTAATCTTCGTGGATTCGTTAATAAGCAGAATTGTTGCATTTGGGCTGATAAAATCCAAGGAAGACTGTTCAAAGCCACTGCACCCACAAAAGGTCACTGTTTGGTGTGAATCTTGTTGCTAGCGGAATAATTCGGTCGTATATTTATAAATTTGAAAGTCCATTTTCGTAATAAGCTTCGATAACTTTAACACGTTTGTTAATCTTTCCATGGTTGACATTGTCAAAGATTTAAGTTGTTAAATCTGTAATAAAAAGAAAAACAATCATTAGATGCTTAAACTTAATTCACATTTAAAATCGGGCCAAGTTATTGGAACACACTAAACACACAAAAAACAAGATAGATAGATAGATAGATAGATATGAATAGACATAGACACATAACAACATTTTGATATAAATAAATTAGATCACAGCATTCGGATATATATATATATATAATCAATTAATGTGCTTTTAAAATTTTCAGAGCATCAATGGCGAACGATCAGTCAGCGTATGAGATGAAACGACACGCTATAATTGTTGCGATACAGGCAAAGCCTTCTGAGTATAGATTTCACGTTTAGTGTACGTCGCCAGGTCGTTTGTGCACAACGTATGAAAGGAGTTGGACTATTCCAGCGGGGAATTTGTCGCCTGAGCGAAGCGCAAAAAGCATTCACAGAGTTCAGACAGTATCAGCCAACCAGAATTCGGACATCGAGTGCAGAACATTATCGGTGAAAATTTCGAAATGTCCGTGTTTGTAATGTCTGCGAGAGAAAAATCAGCAATACGAGGCATGAAGATAAGGAAACGGCAGTTCACAATGGTCAAGAATAAAGATTATTGAACGAATTGAAACATCCAGAACATGACATGTTCTGTTTATTTGTAGCTGTTTTTTTTTTCTTTTTTTTTTTTCAGACCAAAAATGTTTCAGCCAGGAACTGAAAGGGAACTATAGAAATGACAAGTTGTTATGTGATACCTCTGATGCCACACAACTAATGAACAACGAATCTACCCCTTCTCTGATGCTTTTACGGGTGATAAACAGCAAAGAACACGTTATGCTAACCCCCTCCTTTCACCGGTGTTTTTGGTTGAATGCTGCTGATTTCACCGACGTCCTGAAAATACTTACAAAGCGCTGTATATGTTAGGTTATCACAGATGAAATGGCGCACTTTATAGGAAATAGATAACTAATTTACTTAATTGAAATTGGCAACATATTGATAAATGACTATTCTCTAACATACCCCTAAATTCTTGATCCCATCTTTAAAAATATTCTCATCCTTTAATGTCGTAAACAGTTCAAATGCTTCGATAACCACTTCCTTATTGGAGAATGTTTTATTGCGTATGAAAAGCTCAATCAGTAAGAGAGATATCAGGCGAGCATAGTGAATGAGGGAAAATTTCGAAATTAAGGCTATACAACTTTGGGACAGTTAACAGAGAAGCGAGCGTCTGTGCGTTGTAGTGCAGCCAAACTGGGTCATCCCTATTCACAAGTCTAGGATATATTTTTCCCAATGGTTCATGAATACACTCAATTTTTTCCAAAATACGAAGTTGCTGTTATTGTTTTCACTTACAAAAAAATGACTAATGAATAATCCCATTGAAAGACCACAAGAGAGTAGCCATTACTTTTTTAGGGTTTAGTGGAGGTTTTATATATATATATATATATATATATATATATATATATATATATATATATCTGCTCTACGGTTGTATTGAGCTCTTTTGTTAGTTAGTTGTTACTCGTATCGGGGTTTTTTCTTTGGGCTTCAGACCTGCATCTGTGCGATTTTTTTGTCGGCAGAAGTTCATGTTTGTAGCTCTTTCTTTTTTAAAACTTTTTTTTTCCTCGAAATTTATTTGATTAGCAAATCAAAAATTCGAGGGTTTTTCGAAACGAGTCTAGTTATCTATCTATCTATCTATATTATATATATATATATATATATATATATATATATATATATATATATAGAATATGTACATAATATATATGGTGGCCTGACGATTGCGTCTACCATGAAACAGCCTATCGTCTCTAAGTGTTGACTTCAATGTTCACTTTTATATTTACACACACACTATCTCTGATATTGAGCACTTTATCGCATAAATATAGCACACCATAAGAGTATATTTCTTCCGTTCATCTTTTATGTTACAAAGAGTTTTGTTGGTCTCTCACTCATCTTTGATCCGCACTAACTAATCAAGGGTTTGGGATCTGGGGAGTTAGGTGTCCACGTGTAAAGGTGATGTTGTCGCTGAAATTGTCTGATATCCATGACGGGGTTCTCCTGCTTGTGTGGCATAGCGAAGTGTCCTGTTGCCAGACTTAGGATGTGCCAGTAGCTACCCTCTTGAACCAGCAGCACTACTTCTTCAAGGCACTAGATGTAGGCCTTCGTGATGGGCGTGAGGCCCTGTGGGAAAATGAATGGAGGTATAACGTCCCCATCAAACACCTTCATAATCACTATTAGTCTCATCTAATTCTTTTGGGATCCTCTACACTCTCCTCAGACTGGCATTCAAACATTGTAAAATGCTTATATTGGAGTTTTCCGCGTGAATACCAATCAGTACAAAATACCATTTCCAAATATGTGGAAGAGTGAATTGCATCATAGTGCATTTTTTTTTTCTCAAAGACAGATACCAACTGACACTATGAAACTCCATAGTCGACAAAATCAAAAACATACAATGTGCACGAAATGAAAAATATAAAATGACTACAATTTACCCATCGTACCCCGTATATTCTTTAAATATTTTTATTATATAGTAGACACGTGGAGAAAAATTTCACGCTCAGTCTGCAGCCTTCACCAGTACTTGATATTTACCTGACTATTCTATCTTTTTCTAACACATTCTCTCTATCTCTCTCACCTCTCTCTCCCTCCCTCTTTCTGTCTCTCTCTCTATATATATATATATATATATATATATATATATATATATGGAGAGAGAGAGAGAGAGAGAGATGGAGAGAGAGAGAGGGAGAGAGGGAGAGAGGGATGGACAGACAGAGAGAGAACGGGAGACAGACAGACATGAAGACAGACATGAAGACAGACAGACAGAGACCAAGAGACAGATAAAATCAATAAATAAACGAAACCTAAATCTTGAAATAAAATACAATGACTGCAAAGTTATGAGAAAGTCAAGAGGATTAAAAAGAAATGTTTGGAACAATATATGAATCGTGCAAAAAGATTGAACAAAAAAAGGTCGATCAAAATCGTGACATGGAACAAGGAACTAAGAGCGGAAAGCGAAGGATGAAACAAAAGTCCATGTCTTATTGGGGAAGACATTGAGAGAAAGATAGACACTCAGAAAAAAATGGTCTGAAAATAATAATCAAAGAATACTTCACTTTTTATATATTCGAACGGAAAATGATTTCAAATTTCGTGTCTACCTTTTTAAATGATTTCTTTACTTCTTGACTCGGTCATACATGGAGGGAGGCACAGTGGTGTAATGGATAGCGGCTCCGTTTACGGAGAGCCGAGTTCGAATTCCAGTCAAATCCATTATATTCACTTACGTTGGGAAAGGTATTAATCCTCTTCTTTCCCTCCTCCCACCAGCTATAGGTAATTAACAGGACAGACCGAGTTCTATAGCTTTAGATGGCAACGGGTCTACCGCAGAAAGTAATGGCAACCTACTGCGGGAAAAAATCTGCCTCGTCATTACACATGATCTTCTTAAGCGTGTATCACGCATGACACATAACTGGTATACTTATTTTTTCGTGATATTCTGTTAAAAAAAGATATATCATTATGACATTTTTGTATTTTCATAAGCTTCGTAATTCGTAAGTTAGATATTTTCATAAGATTTATTTAGCTCTTCTGTCATTGAATGGGATACTGAATATATACAAGGTTCGAACGGGCTTAGCACTCAGACTCAGGATGATCTTCGTAAACGTCTTTTTCATTTTGGCTATCAAAGATGTCATTTTGGAAGGCTTTGTTCACGAAAGCCTATTTCTTCTATGAAGTCTAAATCCCAGTTAAATGACCGAAAATATCATCTGAAAACATTGTGTTAAGACAAAATATTAATTCACTGAAGATTATACATATGTATACATACACACACACACACACATATATAAATACATACATATATATATATATATATATATATATATATATATATATATATATATATATATATATATATAGTTATTCTATCATGTGCTTATTTTAAATATTATTTTCCATATGAACGAGTTTTGCAAGGCAATAGCGTGCAGTGAAATTTTATTTCCTACAGCACTATTTTTAAAACATTGCCATTTAAACATTCTCATTTTTTGCAATTTCACAAATTTTCTTTTTTACTTTTGGTATTTCTTTCTGTGATTCATTATTTATTTTCGTTTCTGTTTCTTTCCTTCTTTCTTAATTGTCCCAGTGGGTATTTCTTTCTTTCTTTCTTTCTTTCTTTCTTTCTTACTTTGTTTCGTTCTTTATTTGTTTCTATCTTTCTTTATCTCTTTCTTACTTTCTTTATTTCTTTCTTTATTTCTTCCTTTCTATCTTTCTTTCTTTCTTTTCTCTGTGATTTTTTGTTTCTGTTTCCTCTTTCATTTCTTCTTTTTTGTCTCTATGTTTTATAGTTTCTTTCCTTCCTTCTTTCTTTATTTTTGTCACTGTGATTTTTCGTTTCCATTTCTTCTTTCCTTCTTTCTTTTTTTTTCTCTCTGCTTTTTTTCATTTCTATCTGTTCCGTCTTTTCTTTTTGTCTTTGAATTTTTCCGTTTCTGTTTCTCTTTTCTTTCTTTCTTTCTTTCTTAATTTATTTATTTAGTTAGTTATTTTTAAACCTTAGTTTATCTTGCATTTCTTTGTCTCCGTCTGTAATTTGTTCCTTTCTGTATTTTTCTTATTCCTTATTTTTTTCTTTTTCTATTTCATAGACTCTGATGATTTAATAAATAAATATTGAAAAGGAAAGTCGTGAGAAAACTGTTATGTTAATAAATGATTATATTTTTCTTCTGAAAAATTATATCATTACCTTCTTGCTTGTTTTCGTGTTTAATAACACGTAACTGTTCGTTTTAATAATTTATGAGACGTTTATCAATTAAAAAAAATATTAAAAAAACAGGGACAATTTGTTTCCACGTGCCAATATTAGAAGCAAAACTACTCCGTAACAACACTCAATAATCTGCTGATAAATTTTAATTATCATTAAATCAAGATTTTTTTCTTTATATTTTATCCTCAAATTATCGCTATGATTGATAATCACTCGTAGGAACGCCCCCGACTTAATAAATGTAAGCGACACCACAACGCATCCGTCTCTTTCAATTCTTGTCTCCTGAAGATGTTTTTCTTTACTTCATTTTCTAATGTTTTTATTTCTTCCTTTCGCTATGCCATTATTGTTTCTTTCCCTATAACGCTTCCCTCTTTTTCCCATTTATATTGTCTTTCTTTTTTTAATTTATCTTCATGTATTCGTTTCATACTTTCTGTTCTTGGAAAATAGAATTATTTTTATATTTTCTAAACACTTTATCCCTTCCTATCACTCAGGCTTTACTGCTTCTTTCTCTATAGCGCCTCCATCTTTTCCCCCTTTTTCTTTCTTTTTCTTTATTTACTTCATCTTCACGCTTTCTTTTCAATCTTTCTGTTCTTAGAAAATTAAATTATTTCCATATTTTCTAACCTTTTTATTTCTTCCTTTCGCTATGCCATTATTGTTTCTTTCCCTATAACGCTTCCCTCTTTTTCCCATTTATATTGTCTTTCTTTTTTTAATTTATCTTCATGTATTCGTTTCATACTTTCTGTTCTTGGAAAATAGAATTATTTTTATATTTTCTAACCTTTTTATTTCTTTTTCTTTATTTACTTCATCTTCACGCTTTCTTTTCAATCTTTCTGTTCTTAGAAAATTAAATTATTTCCATATTTTCTAACCTTTTTATTTCTTCCTTTCGCTAAGCCGTTATTGTTTCTTTCCTTATAACGTTTCCTACTTTTTCCCCACTTTTTTTCTCTTTCTTTATTGACATTCATGCTTTCGTTTCGGGTTTTTTTTTTCTGATCTGGAAAAATAGAAATTACTTTTATATTTAACAACCTTTTTACTTCTCCCTAGCGTTCCGCGATTATTGTTTTTTTTCCCCCTATAACAAGTTCGAATTTCAACATAGTGGATTTATTCTCAAATTGTCTTGTTGGTGTTCTCTTTATTTTCCAGCGATCCCAGCACTTTGGAAAAAGTTGGAAAACTATTCCACTGATAGACCGGAATCTTTTGAGTGATACTGGATTGACGGAACCGTTTTTAAAATTGTCAATGTTTGTGCTAGCACGAAGTCACTAGTTATCGTCTTCTCTCCCAGAAATTGTAAATAAGGTCCGCATAGGTGTAGTGTATACCACAGTTATCCTATGTTGGTTGAACATTTGTCTGCACTATGGCTTGGCTGCCCTCCCAGTAACCGACTATTTAGTCTATGCTGCTGCATAAATATTTAGATCTTTACTGAAGACACAGCATTGGTTCTCTTGTGTCAGACTAATCTAATCGGTATTGGCTGAACGAACGTATTATCGTGACAATGCTTAACTTGGACCATTTAGGAACACCAAGTAAATTTACATCGACCCCAATAAAAAAAAATAAAAATACGGCACCATTGCTTCCAGAAGGGTGGCAGATTATCCGTTTGTCGGGGAAAACAGAAATTATATAATAACAATTCAGTAATACACCTGTAACCGATTGATTATGCGTTTCTTTTATCTCTACAGCATTATCGACTGTTTGAAACTTAACTTAAGGCGTTATTAAATACAGCGCCACCTGTGGCCGCCTGGTGAATGCGTCTGAAAATCGTATGGATTTCCAAGAAATGCTGGTAAATTCTCCGGGCGAACAACAGACTCTGACTTCCAATTTTCGAAAAATCAGTGACGACTCTGTATTTTAAGCTGTTTATAACTTCAGAGTAAGAAACGTTGCATGGCGCTTCATTCACGCTGAAAGCATCTTCTTCATTTGATCGCTGAAAATAAGTACTGTCGACCTTGGATATTATTTGGATGGGTGAACGCGCAAGAAAACCCCGTACGGGCAACAATTTGCACACTTGAGGCGGAATAATCATACATGAGGTTGTGTTTAGTAAGTATTTCTTCACTAGATATTATGCAATTCTGGTTCTTTATTTTTCAAACTGCTTGTCTTAATACTGGGGTTCTGTGTCAAGATTGAGCTAAGATTTGTAAGTGATAATCTTTTATTCCTTCATTCAGTTCATATTTTTATTCGTTTTCTTCATTTGATGATCCGTTTAGTTTAATTTTCTTCTAATTTCCATCTTGCGATCTGCATTTTGCGTTTGTTCGTCTTGTCTCTCTTTTTATTAAATATTTCTATTCTCCACCATTTTCTATATCATTCAGCAAATACACAGACGTTTTCTTCGTTTTAATAATATTTTTCTGTTTTGCTTCTTTTTCCTTTTTTCTATTTTGAGCCGTTGATCTTTAGACCATCCAGCCACAAAAGTAACTTCAAACGGCGGATTCTCCCATAAAGATGGGCGCAGTTTCGTAAACTACGGAAGATCACATTTTCTTTATAAAGTTTTCTCGTGTGCTCAGAGCGATAGATGTAATATACTGTTTATAATAAAAATAAAAACAAAACGTGGCTATATCAAATACGGTTATCCATTAAAAATAAATTTTGAGGTAATAGAAAAATATTTGATTAAAAATAATCACGTAAATTCTTTAGAAATTGCTATGCTTACTTTCCTGCTACGAAATTTAGCAGATATAGACTTTCGAGAAAAAAAAAATCTCGGAAAAAGAGAAAATTGAACCTTGCTAGGCTGTTCGAGCTCTGTGGCTGAGCGGTAGAAGCACGCAGAAATCGTTTTCTATGTATATTTCTTCTTTCAAGAACATAATTTACTCACTTTCCTTTATTAGACATTGAATTGTGTCAATTCGCGGACCTCATAGCTTGCGTGACATTTTTTGGCTAACCTGATAAAATATTTATGAACGATGTTAAATTTAAAACATTTTCAAAACCAAGAACATTTTTACCCTTAAATATAAATACTTATTTGCTTCGTTAAAGTCCTCCAGAAAACGAAACGCTTCGGCTACGATAGGTTTTCCTTATATATAAATATATACAAGTCAATGAATTATGAGGATTTAAGCAAATCATTATAGTAATTCATCGAGTCTAGAATAATCCTCAAGAGAATGTGGAAAGCACTAGACGGCCGTTTCCTCCAAAATTCTATTACTTTTATATCCTTGCTTGACCAAGCTAATGCTCTGCGATGGAGCGGTTAGAGGGAAAGAAAAGTTGTAGATTTTGTGGCACAATGCGTATCACCACGGAATTTGTGAATAGCGGCACTATGTCGAGCTTTTACTGTTTCTTCTTCGTTCGAGGCCGTTAGTACAGTTGATATAACGCTCTCGCTGTATATAAATGGTACGGGTTCGGATTTTGGTAGTGGATGCGCACTGCTAATGAATCCCAGAAATAGGACGAAACGGTCGTCCAGTGCTTTCTGCATTCTATTGAGGATTCTTCTAAACTCTATGACATACTATATATATATATATATATATATATATATATATATATGCATACATATATATATTTATTTATTTACTTACTATTATATATATATATATATATTATTATTATATATATATATATATATTTTATATATATATTTTATATATATATATATATATATATATATATATATATATTTATATATATATATATATATATATATGTGTGTGTGTGTGCGCGAATTGAGCTGACTGGATTCACAAATCTATTTGACACACTATATATTAATCCTCGTCTATTTTTTAATGCACGGTTTTCGTCTCCTTATCAGACTGGTGATATTGTTTTAAAGGAACCTCATTGGCCTTACGACGCGTTCGCCTCATACACGTCACTATTTTCTCGAAAGCTTCATACCTGCTCAGTTACGAAGTCTAATAGAAGGAAATGTGCTTTCCTTAGAAAGGGAAAGTAGAATCTGGTTTCATTTGACGTCTTCGTCACCGTGCCATAAAGCAGACTGGATCACACATTGATTAATAATATATAAAAATGGGCAGTCGATTTCAAATATGAAATATCCGCGGCAATAAAGTTTAATGTAATAAACATTTCGGGCTAAAACTAAATCCAGTAGCTATTCAGCATTTCAAAATATGTATGTATGTTTCTCTTTCTCCCCCTCCCTCTCACTCTCTCTCTCTCTCTCTCTCTCTATATATATATATATATATATATATATATAATGGACTCTCCTTTCGGGAACAATAATTGAGGATCGGCAGTGAATAGTGACTTTCGTTTTACAGTAGTGCATGCTGAAATTGTTGGTTTAAAATAAATGAGTTCATGAAATTAAGAATTTTAAACATAACAATTTATCCAATGAATTTTGATCTCCAAAGTAGTTAATACAAAACAATATTCTTAAAAATCTTAATACAAGAAATGTCTTTGAATATGCAATGTAATGCTTTACACACATAACCCCACCCAACACACACGCACACAGAAAGAAAGAGCTACGGTCTAAATTTTTCTTGTTCATACGCTGTTTAAGTGATCGAGCTCAAATCTTTCAAAAAGCACTCGAATACACACACACACACACACATATATATATATATATATATATATATATATATATATATATATATATATATATATATATATAGGTATGTGTGTGTGTATATATAGAAAAATAAGAAGTACCGTTAGGTTAATAATCCGAATTTCTTTAGTATTTTTTTAAAAACAGTGCTCAATACAGAAGTAGAGCCTAAATTATAATCATCTATCTATCTATTTATGTATCTATACCTCTCCCTTTCTCTCTCTCTCTCTCTCTATATATATATATATATATATATATATATATATATATATATATATATCGTGTGTGTGTGTGTGTGTGCGTGCATGTGTCTCTCTCTGTCTCGTTTGTGTAAACACATTTTAACAGTAAGTGGCTTGCAAATATCTCGAGCTGGAAATATATTAACGCTTTATATTGCACGTAGATCGGTTTATTCAGTTTATTATTTATTTATTTACTTATCTATTTATTTATTTATAGTGTGCTTCTGCCTGGTCCCGGCAGGTGTCGAAGATTGCGAATGAAAATGTTGTTTGTTTTTTTTATTTACTTTTCTTTGCTTTCTTTCTGCCACGCTCCTTGTTTCTTTTTTTTTTTCTTTCTTTTTTCCGCTGTTTTCCCTCTATTTTAAGTTACCATATTTGATATTCTTTCATTCCGCAATATATACTTTCTCTCCTTTGGCACTTACTTTTCACTCATTCACCGCTTCTTTTTCACTCTCTTCTATTAATCCACCATTTTGTTTTTCTCTTTGTAACCCACTTTTCTCATTCCATTTTGCCTCTTACAACTCCTCTAATTCCTCTAACACCTTTTCTTCTTTTCACCTCTTTTTTTTCATTAGACGATTTATTGCCTTTTTTCCTTCCTTTCTTTCACTTATTTCACTTCTCCCCTCTCGTCTTTCATTGTATAATCTTTTCCCCTCTCCTCTTTCACTGTATAATCTTCCTCTCTTGTCTATATAAATCTTTTCCTGGCCTCTTCCACTTGGCATTACGTACTATTAACGCAGGTGACATACACCTCTCAAACAAGACAATAAAATTGCGACAGAATATCTCCCTCAATATATAAACCCTTATTTTCGTATTATTCTCATATTCATTCAATTTCTTTTTTCCTCCTTTGTCAGTTTATATTCCAATGCATTCATTCGATATAGCTAGTGATTCGATATAAATTATCACCCAGATCATGATATTTAAGTTTTGTCGATATGATATATATAGAAGAACAAAAATATAATCATACAGTTACAAAATATATAAACTATAATAATAACGCTGGAATTATTCCGATATATATATATATATATATATATATATATATATATATATATATATATAATATAATATAAAAGGCTCAAACACTAATATTCCATGGTTATATATTATTACATTGAAATCGTAATGTCTGATGATTTGGATAGTGATTATGATTTCAATGTAATAAATTATAACTATGGAATATTAGTGTTTGAGCTTTTTATTTTATATTCTTACTCTGTCCTGGACATTGAGTTATACCTGGATTCTATCCTCTTATACACACACACATACACACACACACACACATATATATATATATATATATATATATATATATATATATATATATATATATTTTGCTAATATTATTTTTTGCATATATTTATATATATATATATATATATATATATATATATTGCCTGCTATTTGTTTTCGTTTCATTTGAGGGTTATTTGGTTCTTTACGAAATTCTAACTTTAATTTTTTGCGGTTTAGTCGTTACATATTAGCCTGTCATCTCCACTATTTATAAACTGAAATTACAATATTTACAAAATACTGTTTTTATTTATTTTAATTTTAAGTTTGAATATACTGACATCTAAGACTTCAGATATATGAGATCAAATAATACCAGTTATAAATGGTATTTCAAAATGTGTTATTCCAAGGTGTATTAATCCAGTTATGGATGTCGTATAATTTTTCAAGGCCTCTAAGTCTCGGAAATAACATTTTATTATGTAACACCTCTAATATTATCGAATTCTGTTTTATTGCAGTTATAATTTTGGACTACATCAAACAACTAATTTAATGAAAAAATAATTTTCAAAATATATGAATATACTGAGATAGATAGATAGATATGAACAGAAGATAGATAGATAGATAGATAGATATGAACAGAAGATAGATAGATAGATAGATATGAACAGAAGATAGATAGATAGATAGATAGATAGATATGAACAGAAGATAGATAGATAGATATGAACAGAAGATAGATAGATAGATAGATAGAAGATAGATAGATAGATAGATATGAACAGAATAAAGATAGAAAAATATATATAGACAGATTTATATCTAAAGTTTGAAAGACGACGGATGAAAGTAATTATTTTAAAAATTAAAAAATGAATGTACATGATCTTTTTTTTCGTTTTTGTTTTTTACATAAAATAGAAAATGTCATGAAGCCATTTCTGACACAAGGTCTCTTGTTGGAACACAGAAGGAAATTTTACAACGAAATAATAATTTTAATAATTTTTAACATAAAATAGAAAATTGTCTTATTGAAGCACACACACTAAGGAGAACTTTTGTCTATGTAACGCTAGCAACTTCATCGGAGATAAAAAAAAAAAAAAAAAAAAAAAATTAACATGAAATGTGGCCATAACAAACACCACGACCTGCCTTAGGTCTTTCCGCAGACTTAATAATAGTGTGTAATAAGAAATCGAATGATGATGATGATAATAATAATAATAGTAATAATAATAATAATAATAATAATAATTTCCGGCTCGGTAAACAAATAGAGAAGGCTTTCTCGACGGTTAAGCTATTGTCGTGTATAAAGAATTAAAGAAAAGCTGTCCACCACTTATAAATTGAACACGTCTGACATGACGAACCGCAAATACTTTTTTCCCAAGCAAAAAACATTCTTTCAGTGGAGCAGAAGGTATTCCGGAGAGGTTCGTATGGTTGCAAAGATCAACTATTGATAAACAAAATAATTGCTTAAGACGATGTAGAAATCTTAGCGCAGCGTTGATTGATTACCTTAAAGTCTTTGATACTGTGCCATAATCTTGGATCCTTAAGACTTTGGAAATTTACAAAGTCTCCCCCGTGGTTGTAAATTTCCTTAAGCACAGCATGGGAATATGGAACACCACACTATACCTAAATCACACCAGAGGCACTGCCATCTCCAACTGTCTGAATATCCGACGTGGATTCTTTCAAGGAGACTCTCAGTTTTGTCTGCCCTTAATCCCCTTAGTATTCAATCAATTACTCTACATGGATAATCTCAAACTCTTTGCCAAAGACGACAATTAATTGAAAGGTCTCCTCAATACTGTAAAATATTTTATTGACGGCATAGGTATGGATCTAGGATTAGATAAATGTGCAAAAGTAACATTAAAGAAAGGGAGAATTACAGAAAAATACGCAATAGATTTAGATTTTGTCACAAATATTAGGTAACTGAAATAAGATGAAGCCTATAAATACGTAGGAATTAGCGAAGAAGATTGTATACAGCAGGGGTGGGCAAATTATGTCCTGCGGGTCACCCCCTATCCGCGAAGGCTTTTCATGTGGCCCTCTATTATTTTTATAATATTTACAAATTCAATAAAAAATGCTGGGTATTTAAAAATTGTATAAAACTTCTCGGAAGAAACATTTCTAATAATTCCGCTTTGTTTCGAATTTTAGTTTATTATTTTGCAGGATATTTGTAAAAGAGATTTAGTGAGAGTCGCCATTTTGCGGTGTTTTTAAAATTTGATTCTATTCTTTTAGTAAGTTAGATTCTAAAACAATGAAAAAAGAGCCACATATAATTGGTTCTAAAAGCCATAAAGTTGACTACCGTATTTTTTTAAGAAGGAATGGACTAAAAAGTCTTTTATCATAGAATAATGTACAAAAGATGTGTGCCTGATTTGCCACGATACTTGTGTAGTATTCAGGGAATATAATTTGAAAAGACATTTTAAATTGAAACATGGCAACTTCGGCCAAAACTTTTCCACACAAGAACTGTAAAACAAATGACGAACATCGTTAAAAATACCAAAAAAAAAACTGAAACGCCAACAAGTCATAATTTTAAATGGAAATCTACACACAAGCTCGCAACAAAGGCAAGTTTTATATTGGCAAATATGATCGCAAAACATAACAGCCATTTTCTGACGCAGAATTTCTGAAAGAATGAATGACTAATGCAATCGATATTCTGTTTCCAGAAGTAAAATCAAAAGTAGAAGCAATTTCATTGTCACAGAGAACTAATGTTTGTAGAATAGATGTCATTGCAGAAAAACTGCATGGAAAACTTTGGGACACTGCAGATAAATTCAAGTGATTCCCAATCGCTTTAGATGAGAGCGTGGACATATTAGATATGCAAAGTTGCTTATTTTTCATTCGCTGTACTGATGAAAATTTCGACATCACAGAAGAACTACCACTACTACCAGGAATGATTTTTCTGAAAATCTTATGTATCATAGACCTCCAAGCTGGCAATACTCTGAAGTACAGATTTGAAACAAATCTTTAATTGAATTTTATGTACGTCTTCACCCAGGTTATTTTTTAAAAAATTGAAAGACTTATCAAGGAAATTGTTTTATTTGTTTGCATCCATTTATAAATATGAGCAAACTTTTTCAAGTATTAATATTATCAAATACAAAAATAAATCTATTTTGATAAATTCAAATCTTCATGCAGTATTAAGAATGAGGACAAGCAGTGTGTAGCTATATATAAGCAAAATAGCCAACGACTGCAGTAGCCGACGTCAATCTCATTAATTATACACATACTATAGTTCTTACGAAACAATTTTGAAAATGTCATGATGCTATTTCTGACTTTAGGTCTCTAGTCGTGACCCAGATAGAAATGAGTATACACCAGGAACCAAACGAAATGAAATAAAATACAACTGAAGAAATACGTGCAAATTACAAAAAAAAAATAACGTCTTCATTCAGATTTATGTATCATCTTGCCTTGAACTGATAACCAGAAAAATCACTTGAACTTTTCTTCCATTTATTATATATATTTAGAGATATCGAAAAATAAGAAATTTCAAGCATCACTTCGATTCACACACAGAGCCTATCAACATCCTTATGTAATGGTTTATATTTTACTTGTTTAATTCTTTCCAGTGTATCCGCCTGTTAATATCACAAACTTTTTTTTTTATTTACATCTAAGATATATAGTAAACAAGATAAAGTTACAGGCTGGATGATTTATATATTCATAGATAGATCTACAGAAAGTAAGAAATGAAGGTCTAAAAGTTATCAGATCTTTGTTCCGAATGAGGTATATGAATAGATACAAGAATATCGACTTGTTTGTCTTGTCAGAACTCACCGTAAACGCTACTAAAATCATTATCAAAAGGAGCGGTTTAACAATAACCTGAATGATTTCAGAATGGCCTACAATCAGTGAAAGTGTGTCTTGGAAATACCGAGTCCAGCTATGAACAAGCAGTCGAAGATGAAATTTAAAAAATGGTTCAGGCGACGATTTCTGGAAAAAAGTAAGATTGTCAACAAAGTCAAACCGCTAGTGCTTTTCATCATAAATGGTCCTCAGGTTTTCTCCTCCGAGCCAGAAATTTTCTAAGATCTTTGTAATTAACTTTGCCTCCATCCCCACACAAGACAACAAGGTTCCTCATCCTGCCTGATTTCTTCCTCCCTCCGAAAACAAAATTATCGATAGATCTGTCTCTATTCAGCAAGTATCCAGTCTTATCAAAAGCCTTGATTCCACGTTCCGGAAAAAAAAATCTGTAGTTTTTATTAAGTCTCTTAACACTGAACTATCCACAATCTTGGCAAAATCATTTTATCGCTTCCTGAGTGAGTAATGATTCTCTGGTCTATGGAGGCTGTTACCTGCACGGTCAT